GACCCCTTTGATTTGAGCATTGACTCTCGCACATGGATGCACTATGTGGATTCCGTCGAGTTTCAGGCTAGGCAAGTGACGTCGCAAGTCGATACCTCCATCATGCAGGCTAAACCGCGACAGCATGCAGAGCACACCTTATCTGAGGTCGACCGAGCAGTGAAACGGCTTGGTGCTTGGGCACGTTTGCTTATGGTGCTCATTCCGTATCGAGAAGTCGTATGTTTGCAGCAGATCTGGTCACCCACTGATCCATCAATCTCAAAACGAGCGTGGGAGTATCATCTCTACGGTATCAGACAATCCGTTGCCTTGCTGGAGACGGAGACGCCGCAAACAGTCTCAGAGTTCTGCGGCACGTCGCCAAGACGTTTTGACTTTCTGGCCGGGACATCGATGCCGACCCACGAGCAGTGGCTCGTCCTCAGCGAACGCCGAGCTTGTGCTTTGCTGAAGCGACAGTTACGCGTCGGCATACAGTCCTCCGATGAGTTTCTTTGCTTGTGGCAGAGAAGCCTGAGCCCGTATTGCTGCCCAAGCTATACGGCGGGCGCCGCGTCCATGATCCGCCTGCCTTGTTTTGCGTGGGCAGACGTGAAGCCTCCTGTGCTTTCAAGTGCTCAAGACGATGTGTTACGTCGGATCGAGTGTGCAGATGTGGAATGTGTCCTTCTTGCGAGACTGCATGGTCATCCCAGAGACAGGTCTGTATCCTTCGTTCAGGAAACACACAGCTATTACGTGAACGGACACAAAATGCCTTTGTCCGTAACCGGCCTGGTACATTCCTTTGCTCAAGAGTTTCGACCAGACGAAGTTATTCAGAAGATGGTTAATAGTGGCCGGTGGCCTCGGCCTGAATACTCTCACCAGGTGGCCGACACCATCGTGCCGTTCTCCGCAGACGAGATCAAGGCAGCGTGGTCGCGTAACGCGAAGGAGGCAGCGGCCAGGGGAACCTGGATGCATCTGCAGATTGAAGTTTTGCTCAATGCCGGGTATGTTCAAGCAGAATGCTGCGTCGAGCTTCAGTTATTCAAGCAATTTCTTC